GGAGTTGTGGATAAGTACAGACGAAAATCCCGATAAGAAACGGCTAGTTGCTCGTGTATTCACTGAAAACGCAATAGCTTGGACGGGCAAGGACGAGTTAGATAAATATCCTGAACAGAGATCCAAAGAGCCACTCCATCTTCAAGCTAATAAGAAATACTACGTCGAGGTTTTACACCAAAATGTGAGTAGCTGCTACATACTTAATCCATGTAATCTATAACACAGACATGTAATTCTAAATTACAATCATACTTGTATAAAACTTGTCCAGGGGCTCTCCTTGAAAAGCCCTGCAGGGTTTGCTGAGAGTTCCTGCCCAAGTATATTTTTAAAATCATAAGACTGTGTAATTATTGTCACAAGGAGCCCGAACGCTGTTTTAGCTGACAGAAAAAATTAGATATATTTACGCTGTGTTAGCTAAAAAAATAATAAGATGTATTTTCCTCTGTTCCTGTGTCTTTTATAAGTATCCTGGGTTCCAGAAGATATTTTTTTCTTATACTGATGGTTCGCGTTCGTCAACGACTTAATACGACTACGACGTGAAAATGCCTAATTTCACGTTGTACAGAGGAAGTAAACAAGCGACGACGAAATTTTCTCCCTCTTTCTGCTCTTGGCTATGGTTCTTAGGAATTCAACTTTAGGATGGTTCGCCTACATTTGAAAAAGTTAGTGACTTGGAGTAATCGCGATGAAGATTGAATAGCCTGCGTGGCAGGCGTTTGGAAGGGAAGGGAAAGGGGCGTTTTGGGCGCGAGGGAAACGCGAGGGGCGCGCGAGGAGGAAGGGAAGGAGGGAACTGCCAGGAAACCATTGTTTTCGCCATTCCGCCTACTAATTATGTATGCAAAATAACGCAATTGTGAATGACTAGCGGTCAAATAAGTCTGGCCGCGATGCACTTATTTTTTAAAGTCGTATTTCACATACTGTTTTCCTTTTGTTTTCCTAAAACGAGAAATCTGAAGTGAAGGTACTATTTAAAAAAGTGTAAATGCGGTCGTCCGTTGAAAGAAGAAAGTCGCAACCATGCGTGGCTTGTTATATAAAATCCAGCATAAACCTTACGTTACTAAAACATGGAACGACCTAAAACCACCTAAAACCATCTAAAACCATCTACAACCACCTAAAGATGACCACCTACAACCACCTCAAAAAATTCAACAACCACCTACAACCATCTACAACCACCTCAAAAACATCTACAACCACTCGCAAACAATCTAAAACCATCTAAAACAGGGTGTAAATGTCTGAAATAGTTTCACACAAATGTATGTAGTTCCGCAGAATCCTTTAGTCTAGTGTGAACGTGTGTCACTTGTAGAGCCTGATTTTATACAGCTATTAACCCGTTTACAGTTGCAAGAATTAGAAAACATATCATGATATTTGATAATTCTTTTCAGCAAAATGAATCAAAACGTTCTTACCAGTAAGGTCCGTTGGCGGGGAGGGAAGACCCGAATATGTGATCCAAATTTTTCGTTCCGTTTTAGCTCGTAAAGTTCCAGCTACTCTAGCCTGTGCCAGGCTCTCAGATAGTATAGTGGGGACGTATTTACAACGAGCAAAGCGAAAATAAGAAGCGCGCATATCCCATCACTCCCAAGAAGAGGGCCGGGGTGAAAGTTGGGTTCCAAAACATAATAAAGGTATATAAAAATCCAGGTAAATTACTTTAAATACAATCATTCACTATTAAAATTTTTCAACCCATTTTTATTAATTTCGGCTCGTCTTAACTTGCTTTCTTCTGAATCCATTGTATTATAGATTTTTTTAAATAACATTTTTAACAATGATTACACCTACTGGTCTCCGTTTCCTGTGTCGTGACGCAAGGAGTTTAGCCTTGCGTGATGACACAGGAAACGGGTGTGAAAGACACTAGGGTTCATCTAAAGGAGTCACCTGGAATGTAGGTGGTTTTAGGTGGTTGTAGATGGTTTTAGGTGGTTTTAGGTCGTTCCATGTTTTAGTAACTACGTTTTTGCTGAAGGTATCGCGTTGGACTTCCCAACTTGCATGCAGTGTTCGTCGGAGAAATTAATTACAAACACTTTGCTGACTCTCGAACTGGATCCAGCGCAGCATACAAAAGAACGCTGGTAGCTGGGAAAGAAGAACGGAACTTCAAGGATCTGCAATAAGGCTAATTCTGCAATCAATATTATCACTGAAGTACGGTAAGTTCCTGGCGGCTTTATAACGTCTATAACCAGCAAAAAGAAGTCCTCAAACCAAAAATCGCCTAGGATTATAGATCGCTTCGTCTTTAACAATCTGGTCGTTGATAAGCGTAGCCTGCGTGGTAGCCGTTTAAGGTCAAACAGCAGATAACAAGCACACAGGCAGCATGATTTTTCCTCTCTCTCTTCTAGTGAGTAAAACAAGCCGTTGGAAGACGAGACTTCTCAAAACCACTCAGCGAAACTCATCTAGCTGACAGGTCTTTTCCTTCATACGAGTCTTTTAACTGCTTTCT